AACCGCATTATTATATAATAATTATGTTATTTGAGAAACAAAAAATTGTGTATAAAATGAATACAATGTCACTGAATATAGTGAATACTTAACTGATTGTAAAATAATGAAATGGGAGTGGAGTGGGGATGGGAAGGGATGGGATAGAGAGCACAGTTAGATTTAGTTTGAATATAAATGGATTAATTGTTGATATAAATTACTGATATTTATTGTTTTGTAGCCAAAACATTAAGTTATTATTTTTAAGGCAGAAATTTTGTAATAGCATTTTGCAAAATAATCTATAAATTATTGTTTAATATTTACGACCAGATATTCACACAAATCATAGAAATTTTTAATTATTTAATTAATTCTTAAAATTCTTAAAATAGTTTTATAATTTATTTCAAATTCGTTGTTTATATTTAAATATTAATAGTATGGATGTCAAGGAGATCTCATTAAATGTCAATTAAATATAATTAAGTTTCTAATTAAACAATAATTATATGATTAAATTAATAATAAAACCTTATTTATTTCCTATATAGATAAAACAACAAAAACAAATATTGATTTACAGTAAGTTATACTTAACTTTTAGTTGGCTAGCAAATTATTCATTACAATACCAAGCTTACTAATCACAGTGGACAACTCCCTGGATGTTTCTAAAACTAAAATTGTACATTTATAAGTATAATATTTATTACAGGATTTAGTTTTCTCATCTAATGTATGTGTATTGAATTTCGATACGTTATATAACATTATATTAATCTGTAATTATTTATCATTAAAATCAAAGTAGTTTTTGTTATTTATAACATATGTTGCAATAAATTCTCGATTTTATTGTTTCAGTAATTCTTTCCCATCACTGCAGCAATGATTAGACATTTATTTTTACAACGATTTTATTCAGTTATAGTGCACTTTCAATGACTTTATAAATTATCCGTACACTTGAGAGAGAGAGAGAGAGAGAGAGAGAGAGATCACTATACAAAATACTTAATATAATGGTATGCAAAATACTTAAGAAATGTTCATTAAATAATAATTGTCTCTACACAAATGAGCATTGCTTTATAATAAGACTCCCGGTATATGAGTATCACATTTGCGATACCTGTAATTGTCGTACAGTTTTGTGTATTCGCTAATTGATTCGGAAATACCTTAAGTATAGCATAAATACCGGTCGTTAATGTACTTAACTTCTTGTTTCTCTTACTATCCCGATAACTACTCTACAATTTTTATTTATTATTATTTTATTTATCTTTTATTTTTATATAAAATTATTTTTTCGCTTAAAATTATCTCTCTCTCTCTCTCTCTCTCTCTCTCTCTAAAGTGTACAGATAATTTATAAAGTCATTGAAAGTGCACTATAACTTGAATAAAATCGTTGTAAAAATAAATGTCTAATCATTGCTGCAGTGATGGGAAAGAATTACTGAAACAATAAAATCGAGAATTTATTGCAACATATGTTATAAATAACAAAAACTACTTTGATTTTAAATGGGGAAAATTTTGTGTTTTATAATCATTTAGATTAAAAATGCAAATAATTATGAATTTATGTAATTAAAGTTTAAAAAAGATTAAGAGGTCTCTCTCTCTCTCTCTCTCTCTTCTCTTCACTTCAAATTCCTTGACATTCGGTAACCAAACACTCGATTCACTCAAACGCTTGAATAACAGGATATGACAGGAATTACAGCTATATTTCAATTAGACTTTAATTTTTTGTTACGGGCTTTAATCTCAGAGCTAATGGTATGTTTGGAGACTTGGTATTATATTTTCTACAAATATATACAGTACTTGTTTGAAATAAATTTAGTTAACAGTACGTCAATTGTGTATAATAAATACACTAATCAGTTAATTAGTTATCATTGGATTTACTTAGGCTTATATTGCAATAAAATTTTATATGAAATAATAGAGTATTTGTTTTATACATACATCATATCATATCAATAGACTTAATAGATAAATGATAAAAATTATGTAGTGGTCGTTTGGCAGCAATTTGTACACTATTTTAAGAAAGTATAGACTATTTGGGACGACCTGACATGTATAATACGTGAGTACACAGAAGTATAACATATAATTATTGTAAATCTGATCTGATTTTGTTTTTTGTCTACAAATAGCCTTATTATAAGTGGTATTAATAAGTATTGAAATTGCCTAAAAAATACATTTGAAATTATTATTATAATAATCTCAACATACGAATGACATTTCATTTCTAATGTAATGCCATTTGAATGTCAAATATAATTATTTTTCTCACTTAATTTAGTATCTAAGAGTCTTAGACTAAGACTACAGTATGAGTATAAGTAGTGTATTATATACCTCTATCACTATATTTATACTAGAAATATATTATTTATTTCTTATGTGATTACTTTATAACTAATTCCAAGGCTTTGAGTCATTAAGACTATAAAAATATTTTTCAATTTCTAATTAATTATAAGAATAATAACACAATTTTCATATTAATAATAATAAGTGTATTGTTTCAATCTATCAAAACAAAACCTACTTTTGTTAAATACAGAAGTTATGAAACACTAAAATAGTTAATGAATTCCTAATATAATATGATATAAGGGATGGGAATCTGTTTTATCGTTAATTAATATTAAGTTTTGGTTTTTAAAAATAACTTTTCATTTGTGTCCTCAAAAAAAGAGCCTAAAGAGGAGAGAGAGAGAGAGAGAGAGAGAGAGTTAATTAATCGAAACAAAACATGTAATTTAAAAGTTTTTTCCTCTCAATTTATTTATAGAGTCTATGATATAATATAGACTCTCTCTCTCTCTCTCTCTCTCTCTCTCTCTCTCAAGTTTATAAAAGAATTGTATTTTTAAAATATTCAGTAAAAAATTTGAAAACAAAAACTATTATTTATTTTTCTCATTCCCAACCGATTGTCTCGTTTAATAAAACATTAGCTTTTTTGGAAACACGAAAAAATGGTGCGGTTTTTGTTCACAAATGAATTGAAATTTATTTATATAACTATTTCATGAGTTTTTGTCTGAGAAATACAAATACCCAAAACAAAAACTTTATTTTTTATCTCAAATCATAGAAAACACAAAACCTTTCTTTTATCATTTTATAATACATTTATTTTTACAACTTTTTAAAATAGCTTTAAAACAAAAAATATTGTATCAACTTTTGCTTTTCACTTATTTATTGTTTGTATTTATTTATGAAAGTTATTTCACCATAATTAGTAAATTTATTGATTACTACTTTAATTAAGACTTATTTGATTTACGGAGTTATCGCAAACTTAATAACTAATAATTTTGATTTATATTAATGGTTTCAAAAAATCGACTTATATTTACAGTTAGATTATATAATATTTAAACCACAGGTAAACGCATGCGTCAGCACCGGTAGTTTTTAATAGAGAGCACACACACACCACCGGAGCGATTACATACCTGTGCCCCGACTTATATGAGCGCACACTTGTTGCTCATGTTATTGATAGAGTGGAGGGAATAGGAGTTTAATGACCAACAAAAAAGTATTAGCAAAAAGTTGTTTCTCATATATAAGACATACGAAACTGTAGTCAACTATACAGACAACCAGAGAGTAGTGTGTATTATATAACACACATACACACAGTGTCTGTATATATACCTGTGTTTGGGCCCAAAATTACTGTATATTTCACTTAAGGGCTGTTCGTTCACGAGTGGAGTGTTATTGAAGTGAACAGAAAATTCTGTACAAAAATAATAATAATAAATAAAAACTTCTCTATTGACTATTGAATGGTGTGTATGAATACGAGTGAACTGAACCCTAACAGTACTAGAAGTTTGTTATGTCAAACACAAAATCATAGACATAGGCACCAGTGCTCGTCAGTTACTACCTATGCCTACCTGTGCTCTAACTGATAGCCGAGAGAGAGATTCATCAAAGTGTATAAGCATTTAGTGTGTTATATGACTGGTTGTGAAACTACTGTTTTGTGCATAAAAAGCTATATTTACGAGAATAATAGACACTGAATTGATATTTTTATGAAAGTTTTTTCCTGTAACTGAATAAAAATAAAACTTTTTTAATGATATTTGTGCGCATAATATACGAAGAGATGTTCAATAATAAGCTGAGAATTTAAATAATATTTATATTAATAAAATTGGTATATTTTTCCGATAAAGTGCACAAAAAAATAATAATACGAAAATCATAATAATATTCATTCATTCATTAAATAATAATCATATAACTCTAAAACAAGTTTGAAAAATATAAAAATTTCATGTTTAAACAGCAATAGTAGTAATAATAATAACAGTAATCATGATATCAATAATAAGTATAAATAATTCAAAGAATAATACGATAATCACAACAACGACTACAACACCGAGCGGTGAGTCCACAGCAAAAGTGCCGCAAATTCTCGAGAATATTCCTCCAGAAGTGGTGGTAAAGGGTGACCAAAACAACACCAATAATAATAATAACGATAATTGCGATAATAATTACGATAATAATCGCAAGAATATAGACAATAAGAGGTACGCGACGAGTGTACCTGTTCATTTGCATAATAAGCACTCGAGTGGTAGTGGCCGCGTGGGGCACGATATCGTGCACCATGGTCAATTAGTCCTCAACCATACTACCGGCGCTCATCATCACACTACCGGTGCTGATGAGTACGACGTGGACGAGGGCTTCAACGAGGACTCGGCCTCATCCATAACCAGCAACAATAGCTCCGTCACGACAGTCGTAGTGCCGTCGCCCCCACCCCAGTACCCGCCGCCCCCACTGCCCACCGACGACCCCCACGACGTGGACACCCCCGCAGCCATTGACTCACCCCTACAGTCACCTAATTTAGTGCAAAAACATAGTCCATCGCCGGTTGTCGTGCAGGCGTTGACCAAAACTAATGGTAAGACCAGTGGTTCCGACGCCAAGAAGTTCAATACCGTTCGCAATCGGATTCAATGTTATATGGAATTGACTAAAATTGCCGTAAGTTTTGCACATATTTTGCTTTATTTAGTTTTCATGTAATTTAGTTAATATTAATACAATTCCAACTATTATTATATTTGTTAGTCAATGGCTATTATTGTAAATATTAATTTTTATTTAATTTTTATGAGAGAGAGAGAGAGAGAGAGAGACTAATTGTTTATATTTTCTATGAACTTAAAAATAACTTTTAGTTTTAATTTTGTTTTTACATTTCATTCTTAATATAAATTCTCAAAATTTTTTATGTCTGGAAATGTTTCTATTATTTATGTTTTGGTTGTTTATATATTTAAAAATATTTATTTTTAACGCAAACCATTAATTGCATGCTTAATTAATTTTAATTTTTCTTACGTTTCTATATAATTACATATAAAATAAATTATTATTATTATATTTTATTGTGAATATAATAGTAATTAATAAATGCTTTTAACGAGAGAATGATTGCTGTAGAAAATGAAATTAAAATTATAAACAAATTTAAAACTTATTTATTTTTCAACGCAATTGTCTCAGCAGTTAATCACATGTCATATAATCTGTGATTACAGTAAGAATAGAAATACAGAAAAATGAGTCTTTTATTTATTACACAAAAAGTAGTGATACATAAGTAACAAATATTATCTCTTATAAAGATTTTGAGACACAATTCAATTGATTATTATATAAGAGACTACTATTTCCTATGAATTCTCTATACATGTACAGTATATTAGCAGATAATACACTAATATTGCGTTAAACAAACACAATACTGTATTATACAAAGACAATAATTAAATATAATTTCATTACAACTATTGCCTACTATAATATACAACCAAAATATGTGTCAATTAGTGAATACCGAGTATATTATACAACGAAAATATAGTACATTACTGACACAAAAATAACTTTCGCTTAAACGCAGAGATCATTGATTAGATTTTTTTGGAGGCAAAATTGTATTGTAATTTTAATTTATAATTAATATATTACATAACATAATTCAGCGTTTAGTTAGTAAAGATATTAGTGAACAGTGAAAAAATATTAATAACTATAAACATAAATATTTATAGATTATCTAATATTATATCTATAAATATAATGCATATATATATATTATACATATCTCTGTCTTAACACTAATGATTGCTAATATAATATAACTAATGTGTATATGTTAAAGCGAAATTATAGTTAATATTTTTGTGTAAATTTATTTTCCGATAATTTATATTCTTGTTTTTGTGAATAAATTATTGGAAACTTTTTTGTTTATTTTCTATCTATAATCGTTATTATAGCTATAAATGTATAATTTTTATTTGTCTTGATTTTATTAGTATTGATTGTATTTATAATTCGCTAAAAGTAATGTGAATTTTAAATATAATATATATTTATTGAACAGGGATATAAATTAAGCCGATTTTTGTTGATTAACTTTTATTGACAGTTCTTATGACTCTTTCTGATTATTGTTTCAAATATTGTTTTATTTTGTGATATAATCGTAACTTTTATGAATCATTTATTACGAAAGTGATAAATATTTTATAAAAATTATGTTATATATGCAATTAACTTACGTATCTCATTATTGAGTAAACCTATTGATTATTAAACCTAAATAATATATATCGATAAATTCTTATGCAATTCATTTACTACTTATTGTGAAAATAACAGGATTGCATTAAAGTTATACTGGAATTAAATCAAGGATTATATATAATTAAGTGATAATATTTTCTAAACAAAACATTTTGTTGAAAGGTTTTGTATTTGTTGAAAGAATATTATCATCAGATTCTTGAATCCATAAAATGATTTACGAGTGAAAATACTGACAACTAATTAAGAGATAGAAAATATATATAATATTATATTTTTAATTTTTCCTAATTATAAAAGTATGCAAAAACTAAAAATTAAAATAAATAACTTATTTGTCAGAATATATAGAATATATGAGAGAGTCTTTAGTTAAGAGATTATATAATATTTATGATGAGAGATAAGACATTATTTTAAACTTAATATTTAGTGACATTAAAGGCAAAAGTCAGAGAGAGAGAGAGAGAGAGAGAGAGAGAGAGATAGCATAAAGTGCCCTAAAAATTATCCCTTAATTTGAGGACAAGTATACAATGACTTGAAATAAAATCCCCAAAAATAAGAGTAAACTCTATTAAAAATCTAATGAATCAAATGTTTTCGGAAACTTTTAATTATATATCAAATTAAATTATAATGATAAATAAAATATATTTGAAAAATCTCCATTTCCTTAAGAAATAATTTCTCAAACACGCTGAATATCTGTGTATTTATATATAATGAAAATTTTATTTATATTATAGTTAATTTATTTTATCTTTAATTGCAATTAAAAGATTTTTAACTCACAAATGTCATATCAGTGAAATTATTTATTTTAGAAATTAATATTATTTTTCTTATATAATTAATAAATTTCCGAAAATATATTACTTCAACTGTTGCTAACGTATGAACACATTAATAATTATTATATTTATGTGTTATAACATAATACAAATAAACTCAATTTATAATGAGGTTTATTTAACAATAATGAGTACACTATTGAGGAAAGTATACAATATAATAAGTATATAAAGGATCGGTTATTTGTCAATAAAAATAGGAAATCTATCAAATATGTGGCATATATGACACAATCAAAAACATATAGCGATATCACATATTCAGTTTTATTATAGCCCACAGTTTTTACACTATAAATATAATATTGGATTCAATTAATGGAAAAGTAATCGCAAAATAAAACAACTTTTAGTTCCGTTTCATTCATCGCAATCGACTGAATCTATTGCGAAAAGACAACTGTCTTTCCCATTGAATCTCCATTTCCCCATTCGAGTGATTAGTAAACTATTTATAAATTGATTTCTTCATAGACTCGAGACTTGTTTCCCGAAAATTGTATTTTTGTTTCAATCTCTCGATTATTATTATTTTTGGCGAAACTATTAAATGCAAACAAAACTAAAATCTAAAATACTTCGGAGTATTTTGCGAAAAGACATTTAATGCTTAAATAGGATTTAAATTATATTACTTATATTTTTTTATTTTTTACTTAATTTGAAATATATTTTTTATTTCTTCGCAAACACTTTAAGATTCAAATCAAGTCTTACAACTGTCAGAGAGAGAGAGAGAGAGAGAGAGAGAGAGAGAGAGAGACTAAACTTATGTCAAATTATAAAGCATTTAAATAAACAACAAAAATATTTATAAAATAATTTTATATCATATTATTTGTCAAATTTATATATCCTGTGAATTGACTTTTCAAACAAATACTGAATAAATAATTTGAAAAACCTAAATATACTTTAAATAGACATCACTTATGAAGTATTTGACAACTATTTAAATAATTTAAATTTATTGTTATATGACAGACCGGGGGAGGCGGTAGGTTAGGGATTTAAAGGTAATTTTAAATAAATTACTACTTACATGTTAGCGAACATAAAATTGTATTTTTTGTTGTAAAATTATCAGGTATTTTAGTTTTGTTGTTTGCAAATATTTAAATAATACTTAAATCTGTGGATTAGTTTAGATTTGATATATTGTTAAAACATATGTTTAAAGATAACTTGTCTGTCCCTCACGTTTAACAGCTATTTAAAAGGTTAGACTCTCATAGAGTTTGTGAATGAGTGAGAAGTGGAGAGAGAGAGAGAGAGAGAGAGAGAGAGAGAGAGAGACTCTAATAAGAAGCGGATTTACAGCAAAACAGTTTATGGAAATTAGTTTTCCATATAATTTGAGTTCAAAACATAACATGACATTCATTTATGCCAAACGAGAATAACTGTTAGTCAATGAAATATATTTATTACAATTTTATGGCTTAACCTCCCATTCCTAGTGCCAGCACAAACCCCATTTACTACTATATGATAGTGTATATACCCCTCGTAGACAACCGCCGGGTATATGTGGGCACAGAGAGTACATACACATAGATAGCACCGATAGATAGGCCAAAAAAGACTACAACCAAAATAAAAAAATATATATTTTTGTGCAGAATATTTGAATTTGTAATTCTAGTACTAAAATAAAATTTATATTTATTTCTTGTATTTGTTGATCTCATGTCTTATAGAATACATCGAAAGCAGATCTACAGAGAGATTACGAGAAAGAGGAACAAAATCAATGCGTTTTATACATCACTTCAATGGGTATTAAATTGTCTTTATTTCTGACGAAAAATAATATAAATTTCAAAATTTTGCATAATTTGCATATAAATGACTGAAACATTTTGTTTGTTAATGATTTTCTGTACAGGAATTATACGCAAAACGTACGAAAAGTGCCGACAATTAAAGTAAGTATTAATTATGAATAGTAATTAAATATTTTATGTTTTCGTTATTTGACACTAATTTTTTTGACAATTTTTAAAATTTTTCCCATGTATATAATTAATGATTTTATGTTTGCATCTATTTTCAGAGCAATACTTTGTCAGCATTTGATACGATTTGATGAAAGAGATATTTATATTAACCCTAATTTTAAAACTGAATTAATTGAGCGAACAAACGGTGATTATGAGCTGCCGGTGCTATACATTAATGGCAAAAGTATTGGCGTAAGTATTTGATTAACATAGAAAAAACTATTCGTATAATTAATTTTTGAAATAAATTTTGAAACACAACATAATTGAATCAACAAATCGATAAAATAGCGATTGAATTAACAGTGGAAAATATATTATAGAGTAATAGATAAGAGTTTAATTGAAAAATCTGTTCCCAAAATCAGTGGACAGTCTTTTGAGTATTTTTTGTTACCATTAGTTTTTTAATGAAATTGTGTTTTTTCTATGGGCAACATATAACATATAAAAGCAACAAAACTATTAATCATGAAAATACTGCAAACATTTTTGAACTAATTATCCGAAAAATATATTTCGCTCTCAAACCTCTTTGCAAATCATCATTTGTTTCTCATTTAAAACATATTAAATGTTTATAAAATATACACTAATGTAGGAAAAACTAAATGAAACGAAAGTTTACATACTTTGGCTAAAACTCCTCATTTGAAATGATAATACATTTTAACCTAAATTATAGATTAGGTTTGAATAGCAAAAAAATGATAACCACTTTCAGACTCTCGTTAAATACCGCAGAATTAAACACAAAAAATATGAAACTCTTTTTAATACGAAAAAGCGTTTGTTTTCGGATTATTATAATACAAATCATGACTCGCAGAGAAAAACAACAAATTTGTTGTTTTGTTTCAAATGCCCACTCGTTATGCCCGGGACTCCCAGGGGAAAGGCATTCAAATTATTTATTATTCCTGCAATATTATTATTATTATTATGTATTACTTGTATAACAAATTTCTTATACACACACATCCAGTGTATATAATTTATACGTTTCACTCCTTTCCTCATTCCTGATCCCTATCCTCACGCGTGTCTACGAAAAACAAACGTCCCGTTCCTCCCGTCCCTCTCACTCTATATGAGATCTCCACTCAAAAACCTATTCCTCATTCCAATCCATTAACTCTTTTTTCAGAGTATTATTAATAATTTTTTTTTGGGAAAATATTTTCGTTTTGCAGTCATATTTAATTGAAAATTATTTGTATAATTATATTACGGCTGGAGTTATGTAATAGTAATTACAGTAATGTTATGAACAAAATATTTATGACTTAAATATGAAAACCGAAACATTGCATAAATATCTCATATATTATGTAAATATCTGATACACAAAATAAAAATTAAATGCAACAAGAAAATAATTATTCAAATATTCATTGAATAAATCAATTCATATAATCAGCGAATAAAAGGGTTCGGGAGATGGAAATGTATGCAAAGAAATATTTATTCAAACATTCAAAAAAGATCTCTTATATTGTGAAATAATAATAATCATATTTTTATATGCGATGAATACATAGATTTTTTATGAAGTGAATCGACTCATAAAATTGAGTTTTAAAAATGCCTTTTTATTTTCCTTAAAACTATTTATAATATGAATGTCTGAATAACTGTCAAAAAAAATGTTGAACAGAATTTCTTATTTAAAATAAAAACATTTTACTCCTAATTGTAAGTAACTTTGATTCTCCGAGACATTGACTTTGAAATAAATTATTAGTTTTTAAGAGTTACAGCACAAACAATAATAATAATAACTTTTATGATAACAAACCTTTAATACAATAATTCATATAATATTTAATAATAAATGATTTATTCATTAGTGAAACGCTTTTTATGAAAAGGCAGTAGTTTATAGCGGAGTATAAAATAAATTTATTATAAATTGACCTCAAATTATATATAAAATAACATAAAAATTGACACAAATTTCTCATTCACTGTGTGTTCCTTTGAATTAATATAAAAACTATCTTTTAATTTCAATGATAAGAATATTTTTCACATTTATTTTTTTTGTGTTGAATGTATAAGAGATTTTATGTAATAATAAATGTTTGGTTAATATATTTAAAGTTAAGTCACAAAAAGAGAAATATTTTTCTCTTAATTAGGAGACCATTCAATCAAATATATATATATAACATATAAAGTGAATATAAAAAATATGTTTTCAATCGCTTTTAATTGAATACTATAATCACGAAATACTTTTATAGTATAAATATATTATATTGCTTTGAGTTTTATTTCTTATTCAATGGTTTTAATTATATTTTTTGTTTTATATAAGAAATATTTAGAATAAATAGTTTTGTGAACTCATCCCCGAAAAAGTCAGATATTTTTGGATATTTTTATTGATTAATAATTTTTTTGTTGAAATATAAAACCTAAATATAAATTTCAATTTGAAAAAAAACTTATATTCAGTTCAAACACACCGTTTCAGACAATACTTACGACTCATTCATTAATGAATAACTTATTATTTATTAAATCTTATTTAATATTTAAAATATAAGACAATATAAGAAAAACACACTGAGGATAGGGATGGGAATATATTGTACTACTATTGCCAAATTCATGCCTCAAATATTATAACACACATTGGTTTCTATGTCAGGTGTTAAGGTGTAAAGAATTTCATATTTATGATTACATTACTATTTGACTGCATTAAATGCATATTTATTTTTACATTCAATAAAACAAACAATAAGCGATTCAAAAATAACTTAACAAATATGTCTTTATTTGTCTTTTCTCTCTACACATCTATTGTATGGTACGGCATGGGGTATGGTATGTGACACATGGTATGGCTCATACACACACACATACCTACAGAACCTGGAAGTGGTGGAGCGGCTGAACGAATGCGGACAACTCATACACCTATTGTCAGACTTCAGGCTCAGTGCAAATGTGGCAAAAGTGTGCGACTGTTGCGGTGGCACTAAATTCATACCCTGTCAGGTGTGCAACGGTAGCACCAAATCCCAGGTCCACCACTTCGTCTCCGACTCCATATCCCTCAAGTGCTCGCAGTGTCGGCGCTCCGGACTCCAGAAGTGTCCCAAATGCTACCTGAAAGCCGCCATCCACTCAATGGATAGTACCGGTGCTGCTATCGTCGAAAGCCATTAATCAAGAGTTTATTGAATATTAGCGACAATTTTTAAAACTAATTTTATTTTATTAAAATTTATATATTATATACATGAATATTTTTATGAATATTTTTGGACAGAGATGCAGTGTTTTTTATTAATGTATAAAATATTAACTTTTATGTTACAAACTGATTGTTCACTAAAATAATTATATCTTTTTCATTAATTTTTAAATATACTATTATATAGTATTTGAGTGGATTTGCCAATGAAAGGGTTAAATGAACTTAATTTTCTGACAAATATTTCTTGTGGAAAGTGTTAATAACTAATACTTTCTTATTGTAAAACTCTATAGAAATTCACACATAAAATAATTGTTATGAAAAGTTTCATGTTTTTTTGTTACTTTTATTTTTGTTTACCAATTCCTAACGCATTGTGTATTTTTCTACTGATTTGTTCAATGAAAAGGGTTTTTAGACTTAACTTAAAGATCAATGACTTATGTATTTCTTTGCAATCATATGAATCGTTTTTATAAAATAACATTTTGTTGCAAAAAATGTTTTTCAATAATAAAAACAACAATTTATGTTTTGGTTTTGATTTTCAATTATATTTGTGTTTTTGAAGTACAAAATATGTTACGCTTTTATGTAATGGATTTGCGAACAAATTTTAGGTAATAATAAAAGTTTCAATTTTTTGTCTAAACTATTATCTCGTTTTTAAGTTTGTACTGAATATTGTATTATTTAATCGCAAACACATTTTGGACGCCAAACAAAAAAGCACACGAAGTTTTCAACAACTTTTCGTATGTAATACACATATAATTGCTACGAATTTATACACACTTGTCATCCAAATGAATGGTGAATTAGAAAAGTACACGATTTTTGGGTCATTTGATGGTTAACTTCACGCGAAAAGCAGAATATAATATGCGATAAAAAAGTTTTGATTTTGTTTAATAAACTGTAAAAGTGTTGATTGTAACCGCAAACAATAAATAAGAGTTAATAAAAGCTATTTTTTGCTATAAAAACATTTTTTTATAGACTCATGACTTATACTATTTTAAAGGGTATTTTGAAAACAACTACCGATTCTCTTGAAACTGATTATATTCATGCGATATGTGAGAGAAAATAGTTTTGGGAAAATGTTTTTGAAAATTAGTTTTCTTAACTTTTCTTTTATTTTCATATAAAACAAGAAAAAGTGCTTTTATTTTATGCACTTTTGAGTTAATATTTTTGTTGTCTTAGATTTTAATTGTGGTTTTGGTTTTAAAATAATTTTTCATTTGATTTTTCTTTTGATATATATATCAGAACACCTCTCTCTCCCTCTCTCTCTCTCTCTCTCTCTCTCTCTCTCGTACTCTAAATAAATGAACACTTTTTCAGGACATACCTGTCCTGTGAGTGCCTGTTATAGCAATCTACTGAATATTAAGCACCAGAGCCTCCGGTGCCGCTCTCGCTATCCCTTACAGTGATGTTAATCATCAGGTCATCAAAATTGAAGCAAAGAATATATAAATATATGAAAAATTGAGGACAAAAACACAGATTTTTGTTAATCAATAATAGGTTTAAATGTATAGAAATGAGGATTACTTTATACTACTTATAATACTCTCGTGTATTATATAACATGTAATCACTTTATGTTTGAATTGATTGATAATTAGCTCAACATATGATCCAATGATTGCCTTCAAAATCTATTAAAATATATGGACCAATAGATAGTTATAAATATTAGATTCAAATATAATACCGAAATCTTATTTATAATTAAATACTAAAA